AAAAAACTGTCAACAAACTGAAAACACTTAAGAATGGCAAAGTCCTTGTTTTGGCTTTTCCATTCCTTGTACACAATAGGGGACATTTATCAATTTTATTAGATGGCAAAGCAGTGATAAATAAGAGGCATGAGACAAATTGTGAGACAGATTTATTACCAGGTTACAGCATGGGTCAGAAATTCCTTCCTCGGCTGCTCTAAAGTAGTCCTGCAACAGAATAAATCCTGACTGACTACATCTTAGTTATGCAAGTGCAATCTGTCACATCTTCAGTAATAAATCTATCTCAGAATGCATGGATCTGTAAACCTGTTTTAGATATATTTCTAAAGTGAACCGATTTGTGAATAATTATGTCTCTAATTTGCTTGATAAATGTCCCCCAATGTCTTTTAAAAAGGAATGATATGAAAATACTTTTGCCTGACTGGCGCAATGTACGGGGGCGGGTACAGCTGGCTCTGCTTCTAGATAGGCAGAGCCAGCTGTCAGTCACGCAGCTGGGCGGATCCAGACATAATTGTCGGGATCCGCTTCAGCTGCGGCGTCTCAGTATACCGCGAGCAGTAGCTCGCGGTATACTGCGGCGTCTTTATACCGTGAGCTACAGCTCGCGGTATACTGAGCCTAGGGTGACGGGAGGACGCTAGTTTGTGTCCTCCCGTTACCCTAATGAGAACTATGGGGAAAAGCCTTAACCCCATAGTTCTCCTTTAAGGCAACCTGTTATCTAGCAGCAGTGTGGTAAAAACCTATTGGTATTAATCTATGGATCAAAGTGGTGTCCCTCAATAAACATTAGAGAAATACTAATTACATGCCTGCCATGTTAATACGTTAGCGTCTGTGCTTTTTGAGTAATGAGTATTCAGATTAATTATGACTTCACTTGACTTTACTTAGTCTTAGTCTGTCATTACAAATTGAAAAAAACAGTATGACAGTCAGGCAACTAGTATTTTTAAGAGTTCAGCAATAGCAGCCTATATTTCTCATGACAGGTTTACTTTTACGTTGTAATGAATAATATAGTTATGCTTGAACCTGGAAGTTTAGCAAACATAAATTGTTACGGTTTGTATAAATGGATGATAAACCACACAGTAGCTCACTATTCAGTACTTGTAAGTAGACATGTGCACTGCCCAAAAATTTGTTTCGTTTCGTTTTAAATTCAGATTTGTGTGTTATTTCCTTTTTTCGGGATTCGGGTGTGAAAGTCAATTCGGATTCGGGATTCGGACGACATTCGTTAGCGGTAGTTCGTTCGAACGTTCATTTAGTTTTCGTTTCTTATTCGTTTCGTTCATCCGTTCGTTCGTTTTCAGCAAAGTGACATTTGAGGGGGAAAAATGTTTTTCTTCAACGAACGAAACGAATAAGAAACGAACGTTCGAACGAACTACCGCTACCGAATTTCGGAAACGGAAATTCGGATTCATTTGCATTCGTTATATCTGTAATTCGAAATTAGGATACATCCGAATGTCCGAATTTCCGAAAATTCATCCGAATTTCGATTCGGAACGAAACGAATCGCACATGTCTACTTGTAAGCATGTTTTGTCACATGTTTGACAAGTTCTCTGAATAGGGATGTCATAAACACAGAACAGGCAGTCCCACTAACATATGCTTTATTGCTCTACACATTGAAGTCTGTATGCTTACCTGCATAGTGTGAACAACAACTGTCTTCATTTCTAGAGATATATACAGCCTGTGATACAAGTGGTAACATGTATACAAGTATCATCCAAGAAACAAATCCTTCTCTTCCAATGAATGATCTTACAATTACACTTTAATGTACCCATTCCCAAAGATTTGTTACCTAGCCTCAACTTAGATGACATTCACCATGAACACTATTCTTCTTTTCCAAATGGAGTGTTACCTGTCACTGTTTTTCTTCACTCCCATGGTCTTGTTTAGGCATTGACACATATGCTATGATCACTGTTAAACTGACCACTAAATAGACATCTAACAAAGGGGTTGGCTTGTATCAACACTGATTGGAACCATGAAAGGTGAATTTAAAGAAGAACATCAATCTAAGTAAAAATTCCACACGAGCTGTTAAAAAATGAAACTGCAGGCAAGCAGCTAAATTCACAATTGAAGTAGGTACAAGGGAAATGTTTTACCTGCTAAAAGATTCTTTATTCTGTAATCCAATCTTGTGGTATGGACACCACGATAGACACCGGCTGACTGGACATTGAAGAAACAAACAGAATTTCTTCAGTGAATATACAGGTAGCAATAAAAGCACTATTTTAGCTGTTGTTAGAGTGTGGAAGACACACAGACAGCATTAAAAACCTTACACAGATTCTAAACCTTTCACACTTTATACAAAATGAATTAAAATGTTTTGTTCCAGTTTACCAGGAGAAGATTTTCTGGCTTTAAAAAAGGTATTCTATGTATATGATGGATATATGAGAATTTGTACAAGTTAAAGTAATCCCAAAAAATTATATTCATGTTATAATATCATTTGGTTTTCATGACTACTTTCCAAAGGAAATATATGTACATGCAGATTAGTTACATTTGTTGTTCATTTATATCCTTCAGCGTTCTTACCATATACATGTATATCTACAGGCGGCACTGTTTAATCCTGTTGCTTTTGGTTTTTGCAAACCACTTTTTGGCTGTCCAAAGTAGAAATAATTGTATTCATAGTGCAGCTTCAGTTTTGTTTAAGAACAGCAAATACACTTGCCACAAAAATATCTGCCAAAATTGGCCGCTACTTCTCCTTTACTGAGGACATTTCCTCCTCTCACCTAAAAAAATCTGTTTGTGCCTTCCCTCACTTTCTTCTGGTGATCAAAGGCCAGGAAGGATAGGTAAGCTGTGACTGTGAGTTAAAGGGGCTGCCAATTTTCCTGTTTATAATAAAAATCCTGCCAGAAGTCCTAATGTTTCCTCTCTATGGGACCTAATGTTTCCTCTCTGTGATCAAATCATTCAGATTGCAGATTGTTTTTTGTTCAAGTGTCTTTATTAAAGTATCTCATATATATACAAGAAAATCAAAAGTCGAGAAAAACAAAAAAAAAAAGAGTATTTGCAATAAAATCATATATAGTATTTAAAGGAGAACTATGGGGTCAGGGCTTTTCCCCATAGTTCTCCTAAGGGTCACGGGAGAACACAAGCTAGCGTTCTCCCGTTACCCAAAGCTCAGTATAACGCGAGCTGTATACTGAGACGCCGCAGCCGGGACGGATCCCGACAATACTGTCTGGATCCACCCAGCTGCGGGATTGACAGCTGGCTCTGCCTATCCAGAGGCAGAGCCAGCTGTGCCCGCCCCCTCCCCCGTCCGTTTCGCCAGTCAGCATTGGAGGATAGGAGAGGGGAGGGGAATCCCTGCAGGGAGCCGTGAGTGACAGTCACGGCTCTCTGCACAGATAGATCGAGAAGTGAGCTAGTGACGGTATGTGTTCGCTCACTTCCCGATCTACTGAGCCGACCTGTGACAGTTTAATTGTCACAAGTCGGCTCAGATTATGAGGCTGAGTGAAAATCACTCGCCTCATAATTCTCCTTTAAATATAAGCATAACATACATTTCATAACGTACATGGCTTACTTTCATTCTAATACCTCTTAAATCTTCCCTTGCTGTTTCAGAGATTATCCAAACGCTTGTAAAACTTATACTTGTCCCTTATGTTTTTGAAAATGTTCTCAAAAAGGACCGCAGATTTAGTAGATTAACATGACCATGCGAAAATATTCTTAGACACAGTTTGTTGAAGAATCAGGTTGTATTTGGGCACCTCAAGGCCCCTTTCACATGGGCGCCTGTCAGTTTCGATCAGCAGGGGATCCGTGCAGACGGGGGAGTCTGATATAAGTGGACATATGTCTGTCTACATCAGATTACCCCTGATTCGCCACGATCAGGTTCGCAAAAACGGAACTTTGTTCTGTTTGGTTTTCCAGACCAGGCCAGAGTCAGGGGTAATCCAGGGATCCAAACCTGAATAAAGTAATTTCAGGGAGGTGCCCTTCTCATTTCAGGGAGAGCACCCCGCTGAAATGATGGCAGATAGCAAAGAAGCTAATGCTTCCCGTGCTATCTGCTGGGTTTTTTTTTAGTATTCTGACAGCTGCTGCTGTCCTGATGGAGAACTTCAGGTCCACCTCTGCTGATTGACAGCAGCAGTGGGCGGGTACAATAGCTAGTCTGATATTGGCTATTGCAGATTGAAATAGCCAATAGCAATCTGGCTATTCATTCCTTTTGTTTTTTTTTTTTTTCTCTGACGGCGGCCGGTGGCCCCGATGTCAAGACAGTGCAGAGTAAACCTTTCCAGGAGAAAATGTTTCTCTCCCAGGTGGCCCGGAGCCGCTATCTCATAGCAGGAGACTCCCAGGACGTCTGGGAGATTTGGGATGTCTGTGTAATCGGATGTACATGGACACACATCTGTTTAGATCTACCTGTCCATAGACTAACATTAGGCTTCCGGTCAGATCTGCCTGAAAAACTGACATATGGACCTGATTGGAATGACCGTGTGAGAGGGGACTTCGTTTTAAGAAACAGTGAGGGGAATTTATCAAAACTGGAGCAGACAAAATCTGGAGCAGCTGTGCATGGCAACCAATCAGCTTCTCTCTTCAGTTTGTTCAGTTTAGATTTGAAAATAAAAGAGAGAAGCTGATTGGCTGCCATGCACAGCTGCTCCAGATTTTGTCCGCTCCAGTTTTGATAAAATTCCCTCACTATTTTTATCAAATATACGATTAAGGTGAATAAATCTTGAAAAAATAAAATTTGCTGCTTCAGACTGAAGGTTACAATTGATTAATAGTTATAAGTTGAAAAGAATAAAAGTAAACTTGTATTATGATCAGAGTAATGCACCTGACACAGCTCTCTGTTATGTAACCATTTACTTTTTATTTCAAACGTACTGCCACCCTTCAATCAATGTATTATTATTATTATTATTTTTTGCAGCGAGACAAATTGAATGCTGCGAAAATTGATGAGAACAAATGTAGCAAAACTGAACCAGCTGCTGAAATAGAAAAGACAGCAGTTGTCCTCACGTTGAAAAACGAAGTCGGGGGTTTATTACAAGATTTAAAAATTTTTAAGGTAAGTTTTCACATTTATTTGTATTGATATCATTTGGGCAACAAAAATGTTAAAGCTTAGCCATGCAATAAACACCTATTATTAGAGGAAATTGATAGTTATGCATTTTCTGTTTCCTGAAAGTTATTCTATTCAGAAATGTTTGCTGTTATTATGGTCTATTATTGTACTTTACTAGCAACTATTGGAGCACTTTACTGTAAGTGGACACAGTGACAGATGAATATTAGAATGTGAAAACATATTTCCTTGCCTGCTGCTGTACAGAACAATAAGAAAAAGAAGGGCGCTGTAGATTATGGATCATAATAACATCATGGATATTCAGAGCAACACATGCTATGATGCCATGGAATGATGTCCAGAAGATGGGTTAGGATTTTTGAGTGCAACACAAAGCTGGCCATTGCTAGTCATGTACATTTTGTATTTGGTGTTTTGACTCAAAGCAGAACTTGCGGGAAAAAAAAAAATTAAAGCAGAAATCTTTTTTAATTACCGAAGAGACATACAATGAGGGGGATTTATCAGAAATGGAGCAGACAAAATCTGGAGCAGTTGCTCAGTCAGCTTCTATATTTTATTTACAAAGCTTAACTGAACAAACTGAAGTGAAAAGCTAATTTATTACTATAGGCAATTGCTTCATATTTTGTCTGCTCCAGTTTTGATAAATGACTCCCCTGATGTCTCTTCTGCAATAAAAGGTTCTTTCCTGTTTGCTATTGCACCCATGCATTAAACCCCATGTGCACACAAGTGGATTATGGGTTGGCCAATCAAGATGGTGGAAACCCAGAAAGAAAAAGACCGGGCAAAGATGTTGGCATGGGTGAGTGAGCTTGCGGATGTTGCCTCACTGGGGTAAGCATAGGCAGAGTTTAGTTCTGCTTTAAAGGAGAACTATGAGGTGAGTGATTTCCACTCATCCTCATAGTTAGAGCCGACGTGTGACATTGAAACTGTCACAGGTCGCCTCTATAGATCAGGAAGTGAGCGAACACATACAGCTGCTCGCTCACTTCTCAATCATCTCCTGCAGAGAGCGGTGACTGTCAGTCACCGCTCCCCGTAGGGATTCCCCCCTCCCCTCTCCGATCCTCCAGCGCTGAGTGGAGGAACGGACAGGGAGGGGGTGGGCACAGCTGGCTCTGCCTCTAGATATTGTCAGGATACGTCCCGGGTGTGATTCTCTCAGTATATAGCAAGCTACAGCGAGCTATATACTGAGCCTTGGGTCATGGGAGGAGGTTAGTAAATGTCCTCCTGTGACCCTAAAGAGAACTATGGGATAAAAAGGTTACCCCGTAGTTCTCTTTTAAGGGAAACCTAATGTGAAGGAAAAATAAAGGCTGCTGTTGCTAAGCACTCCTTCTGAAACTCCTTCTGACTTCCATATTTTGAGTCAGTTACTGAAACATGTATGCGGGTAGAGACTTATGACTATCATATTAATTGCCACTTGAAGACTTTATGAACTGCTACTTCCAGGAATGAGCAACATTCCCAGTAGTAACTTGTAAAGAGTCTTCAGGTGGCAAATCCTCTTTCTTACAGTGGTGTTTGGTGGTGCAGGCAGAATAGACAGGTATTTACTATCTACAGCAGACCTGGGCATTTTACAGCTGTCTCTGTCACCAAACCTGCACTTGGTTGTGGCTGGCTGACAGGGGATGCACCAGCCTCCAGAGTCTGTGCATTTACTGCAAGCATTGCCCAGCACAGGCCCCCTTCTCTTCATTTGTTGGTTGCTAGGACCACTGGTGGCCTAACAACCAATGATGTCAGGTGTCCACCTCCTCTGCAGTCATTGGTTGCTAGGACCACTGGCATAATAGCAACCAATGATGTCGGGTGTCAACCTCTTCTGAAGTCATTGGTTGCTCGGACTGCCACATCAAATGTGTTCCCTGCTCCCAGCATTAAAGGAGGATGGAAGAGTATGTTCTTCTGTTCTCTCCTGCAGCCTGCTCCACCTCCTGGATCCCACCTCTGGAGTACTGATAAAGTAGGAAAATAAGGTATGGGTGCCCCCTTGCATTGGTCCCCTTTAGAGTGCCCCTTTACATTAACTACAAAAATAAGGGGACACTCTGATGTGAAACACTAAATATTAGTTTATATTTCTGTTCATTCGTAAGTTTGTATGTCTGTTCATCCATTTCTAAGATTTACACAGCTCTGCCCCACTGCACAGCACTGTTTGGCAGGACAGGAGACATGATTTTTCCGTGCTGCAAGTAACACTTGCCAGTGACTGGACAATAAAATTAGAAGAAACAGACTGATGAGCTCACATCTCTATCACCCTGCTCTCTACTCCTATCAGCATGTTTCTTGCACTGCAGTACAACTAACTGCCTAAGCTCTGCTTTACAGGGACTGAAACCAAGTCATATTCAGGTACTTACACTTCTTGTATTTAAAAAAATACATTCCATGATACCTTAATGAGTACTAAGTACTGAGCTCCATATCTTTATATATATATATATATATATATATATATATACAGTATATATATTCATTAGAACAAAACAACATATCTAATTTCCTGGGTTCCCTGCATGCTGCCTTGCATTGTACAATGCTGTCATCCTGTAACATGTTTCAGGCACTGTAGAGTGGGCAGAATGTGTAGGTTTATTTACAAAGATAAGGGAAGCCCAGGAAGGACCTAAACGTTAGGATGACACTGTTAGAATACACATTACTGTATTTATAGCAACAACTTCTGCAGTATACAATTTCGGTCACTAGATGGCAGTGTTTATAAATTCTGTTATATCTATGGTATAGTCTCTGTTGTATTGAAAAAGGTAGAGATTAAAGCTGTGGCTTCCTTCCTGTTTTCAAGCCATGTGCAGCATGCATATGAGACTGTGTGGTTGTATTTCTCCGTGAGGCTGTGCAAGAAGTTCCAACAGACACTCAGTTCAATGGGCAGGAAGGAGCCTGGGAGCTAACAAACAAGCTGCAGAGCTGCAATAGCAGACAGTGATGCCACCCATCTACCTGGGTAACATCAACCTGAGTTTGTGATTAAAAAGACAAGCCAACAGCAAACAAGACAAGGCAATCTTTCAGTTTGTCTGCGTGCACTTCATCCAAGTATTTGCCAGGTTGGCTAGAGTTCTATTTTAATTTGGCCACATTCACATATACAGTATATTGCTAAAAGATTATATGTTTGCCTTTAAAACAGAAAATGAAATATTGGTGTGTAATTTCAAAGAATATAGGGAACATTGTAAGTGACACTAAACTCAGGAGTTAAACCTTCAAAATCAGTTCAAGGACCTTAACTACTAACAAAAATGTACCTTATTTGTGAATCACTCAGCTGTAGATCCTCAAATCATCTCTGAATTGGTGCTGACACTGTCCTTCCTTCTGGAGGGTGGCTACTTTTGTTCCCCATGGTCCCTGTGTGTGTTGTAAAGTAGTCACCGCTCCAAGTTCACTCCCGTGATGGACTACTATAGCAATACAAATTAGATAACTAAACATGAGCTTGTAGTCTATCACAGGAGTGAGCTTGGAGCGGTGACTACTTTACAACACACACAGGGACCATGGGGAACAAAAGTAGCCACCCTCCAGAAGGAAGGACAGTGTCAGCACCAATTCAGAAATTTTTGTTAATAGTTGAGATACCTAAATTGCATTTTTAAGATTTAACTCCTGAGTTTAGTGTCACTGTAAAGCTCAGAAAACACATGTTGGTAATTGCTATGATTATACATTTTGAAAATGAAGTGTCTGGTAGGTACCTGAATCAGATCACAAATGACTTTGTGGTGCATATCAGTTGTATGATGGAATTTGCTTCTGTAGTTACTAGAGTACAATGATTTACCAGTAGGGGGAGACTTCAATACAAACTTAAACATTTGTAAAATAATTCGGTTTGTTCCAAAACCAGCAACAGCTAAATATCTTGAATGGTTGTATCATGCCAGCTAGTATAGCAGCTGCTAAAGAAAGCACATTAGCCATAGAAGTCTACTGCAGTGATGAACACCAGTGCTGAAATCAGATGTAGCAGTTGTTGGTGCCTGCATCCCATGCTGAGACTAAAATCTAACAGATATTCAAGCTGAAATTTTCTCTTAGAAGTAGCAGCAAATCTTTTCACATAAATGACCTCTCACCTTATGAACTGAACGCCAAACCAATACTGAAGAGACGAGGACAGCAAGGGGTCTAAATAAAGACAAACAAGGAGAGATCACAGTGTAGTCGGTTGTTCCTGATGATATGCTGGAGCAATATCAATGACTAACCAGTTTTACAAATAAAATGATAAGTTGCAAAAGAAACATAGTATAGGTGCTAATTTTGAACACTGAAAAAAAAGAAGACGGAGCGCACAACCTAGTGCATTAAATGTGATAATGTGTATAGCAAATTAGGTACATAGGGGGTTGCACTCACAAGAATGGCAAAGAGGAGTGCTTTCAATTTACACCATTATATCCTCCTTTTCAACAGACACCTTGGGCAGTATCTCTTCTCTGCTCCAAGATGTCTGTTGAAGATGAGAATGTAATGGTGCTGCTTGAAAGCACTCCTTTGTGCTACTCTTGTGAGTGCAACCCCCTATGTAATTCATTTGCTATACTCATGTCCACATTTAATGCACTAGTTTGTGTGTTCTGTCTATTTTTGTCATTGTTTTACAGTTGCGAGCTCTCTCTACCTGCACCAAGAGCAGCACACCTATTGTCAGTGTCCTGGAACTATATTTTTTTGGCATTCATACGTAACTATTTAGTTTGGTTCATTGATATTGTCACGCAATCCACCAGATATTTCTATTGCAAGATTCTTGCTCATCTCCAGTTTTATTCAATTACATTTTTTGCATTTCCCATCAATTTCAGGACTAACAGAAATGGTGAATCTCCCAGACAGGATCACGGAGGACAATGAAAACCTGACACAACAGTCAAACCCTTCCACACTTTATTCAAAACAAAACATTTGTTTTTTACTTTATTTAGGTACACCTTTCATGAAAATTATTAGGAATTGGTATATAATCTCATTTAGCTTACAAAAGAGATCTCTACCTATATAAATTATGAGGCACCTCATGTCAAAAGGAAGCTGTGTTGAGCAGGCATTGGCAGATGTACTGCATTATGAAGTATCTTACTATTTGTTTTTTCAGGAAAAATATGTAACTATCAGTCATATTGAGTCAAGAAAGTCAAAAAAAGGCAGCTCGGAGGCAGAGATCTACATTGAGTTTGAATGCACCAAGAAGAAATACCAGGAACTCATTCATCTGCTAAAACTTCAGCCAAACATCATCTGTGTAAATCCAGCAGAGAGGAAATGGAGAGAAGATGAAGGCAAGACCATTGTTTTAAACATATTTTCCTTACCTGCTTATACAATGGAATTGGACAGTAGGTAGTAAGGTTATAGGCGTGTCAGCTAGGAGACAGCAGTGAGATCATGTCCTTTACCAGGACCCCTTGTGTTTCAGCAACCGCTGATACAGAAGTAGGAGCAGAGGCCATGTACTTGAGTCACACAAACTCATCTCAAAGCCTTTACCTCAATCACCTTTGTAAATAATAGGACTTCTACGAAAAAAAAAATGGAACAAGTAACTCCTAGCAAGGCTGATAGGTTAGTTTTGGGTGCATAGAGACTAGAAAACCTGGTGCAAAAAGTTATGGAGTAGGTAGGGAGTCCAGCTGTGCAGTGTGCTACAGCATTGTAGTCTTTCTGTTGTTCTCTTTCTGCCATGAATCATTGTTGTGCCTGTTAGCGTTCAACGCTTTCCTCAGTAAGGTAATTGGGCCACATGTGACTTTGGCCCAGTTTCCTAAGCAACATGAGGAGGAAACTGACATTGGACATAGCAGCAGACCTTAAAAGCTTTGTCCAGCTAGCCATTATAGCTACAAGAGGATTTAAAAATGGGCTCCTGCACTAACATATTTAAGCTTATTGACTTCTAGAACTGCAAAATTATGGAATGCATACATTCTGACAATACATTATTGGGTGTATTATGCAAATATGGTGTGCAAGGCACAATTAACTTTTTTTATTGGACACAACAATTAATTATTAGGCCATGTATATTCCAATCTGACACCGCCTAAGGGACAATCTCAATTAGCAAAACGTTGCATACCAGGTAGCCTACATATTCACCCATAGCCTACCCATGTTACTCTTGTGCCACTCACTGTATGTAGCACAGTTGATAATATTTAATTTAGTAATACTTTTTTTAACTTGGGCCTTTCTTTCTAGTAGAGCTTGATGGCGTTCCATGGTTCCCAAGAAAGATCTCAGAACTTGACAAGTGTTCCCACAGGGTTTTAATGTATGGCTCTGAATTGGATGCTGACCATCCGGTGAGTGATACAAACATTTTTTTTCAAAGAATGCACATTTCTGATATTTACGTGCAAGCAAAACAGATGTGAAATAAAGGCTAGGACTTGAGCACACTGATGTCTCATTCAAGAATATGAGAGTGCCAGAAACTTTCATGCCCAGTGCCCAGTGCAGTATCATGTATTCTGTATCATTAGTTAAAGATATAGCCATAAGTCAAAGGAAGCCTCCATATTACACAACACTGTTAATTCTTTCTACTAATATGAAATGTATATATTTTTTCTAAATATAACAATTTTGGGGAAATCATGGGTCACTCGATGAAAATAATTAGGAAGACAGAATATGACGAGAAAATTAAACTATGGAAAATAAAATTACAATTAAAATGCATACTGGCACCCTGAGTAGTGCTACCCTGTGCCAATTATATACATATAATTCTAAAATGTATATACTGTAACTACAGTTCCAGAACAGGTGAATGTTACCACTTACACCTTCACAGAGATAGTATTTCTTTTAGCAATGCTGTCTTGTAGGTTGTAAGTTATGTTATTTTATTTTAATGAAGATTTTATTTCATTTCTATGGACAAAAACATGTAACTGCACAGTGCAGTTACTGTAGCCCAAAAGTGCAAATTCTATTTTTTCCATTGTTTTCCTTTTTTCAAAATACACTTTTTTCCATTGTTTTCCATTTTTATAAAATCATTAAACAGAGCAAATAAAAAAAGAAACAAATATAATGCTTCCAGCCCGTTCCTCCGCTTGGCCCGTTCCTCCGGTCACTCGGCCAGTTCCTACGATCACCCAGCCCCGTGCCTCCTCTGCCCCGCCCCATGCATCCGCTGCATCTAGATGCTGGGAGCTATACCCAGCCTGCTATTCGATATTTTAAAATGCAATAGCCAAAAGCAAGCTGACTATTGCACTCACCCACTGCCTGCTGTTAATCACCAGACCAGGACCTGATGGAGAACTTTCTCCTTCAGGTCCCTTCTCTGCTGATTGACAGCAGGCAGTGGGCGAACGCCATGCCAGCCTGCTATTGTTAATTGCAATTTGAAATATCCAATAGCAGGCTGGGTAAAGTAAAAAAAAATAAAGTTTAATAAACTAAAATGAAAAAGACTGAAACATTTATAAAAACTAAAAAAAGTTAAAGAAAAATTAAAAATACAAATAAAAAGCATTTTATAAACTAAAATTAAAAATATATTTTTTTTTGGTGTGTTATTTTAAATAAAAGGTTGGTTATTTTATTATATTGGCTTAGAGTTTTACAGTTCATATTATTTTAAATCCATTAAACTAATTAAAATGCCTAATGAAAGGTGGGAAAAGTCATTTTCAGTTTCGGTCTGACAAATTTTGCTGCAGAAGGTGCGTTGCGGTGCCATTCATTTCACTGGAACATGCGATACTATAATGTTCTGTGTTCCAGTGCAGTACGATTTTTAAAAATGTGCATACTGTTATTCTGAAGTAAACTTTATGTCTGTAACGCTGAATTTGTGTATTTTATTTTAAATAAACAACGGTATTCATTTTTACATTTTTTTATCCGAATAATCAATGAATCGAAGTTAATAATCGATTAACTAATTGATTATGAAAATAATCGTTCGCTGCAGCCCTAGTCTAAACCTAGTCCTCTGCACTAGGCTTTTGTGCCTCATAAATGTTACTTCATGTTGTAGGAAGAAATGTCTCTAAATGCATTGATATAAGGGGAACATTTGGTACATTTATGCAGGCTAAAATTTAATTTGTTCACTCAGGAAAATGAGTTGTTGATGAGTTGGTTCATTCAACTTTTAAATACCATGCACAGCTGAGCTTTTCCCTCATAAACCAACATAGCATACGTAGAGATATTGTACCAAGCAAAAACATTTGCATAATGGTTTTGGCCACTGCTGGAAGTGTTTGTAGATGAATTATCATTTGCCAACTGGATTGAAATGAATGAAGGACTTGTATATTTAAGACTTTACGCCAGCTTAGTTAGTATTGGGGATTTGTGAGGAGCTATGTATGGGGTAAAATGAAAATGTAGCTGCTACTTCTTATGTTTTGCATATAGCATAAATATGATATTTATAGAAAATACATCATTATTAGATTTCTCTGCGTTGTTTGTATTTTATCACTGTGTTATCCATTTCACTACTGGACAAATTGTACAATTTTTCACACACATGTTAAAATATGCATTTTTAGCTAGAAAATTACTTAAAATTACTTAATTTAAATGCCTTTACAGCTCATCGGTTTAGAATTAACCATAAATGAGGAACCTAGAATAATTTCTCTCACTCATGTGGAGATATCCAGTCTGTGTTGCATAATTATTGTTTACATGCACTTGCGCATCCTACATACATGTTTGTGTTCGTATGTGTGTGTGGAAATGCTTTTACATTTTTTTGTTGCTTTTATTTATTTTATTATATTTCATTTCTTAAACACTTTTACATTTTTTTCAATGTAATTTTATTGCTATAACAATGGGGCTAACAAGCCCTCAGTGTGATAGCATTGAGGAGGTGACGTGCACTCTTAACCGCCCCCCGGGCCGGCTGGTCGGGAGTTCCCTAGATCTGATCGAGCGTATTTAAACGTCCCGTCAGGACCACCCACTCGCATTCACCGCGTGGGAAACTGCCTAAATTTTAAAACAGGCAGCGATGCCTGTTAACATACAAGCTCTATAGCCGGCGAATCACTTGTATAAGCTGCCGGTCCGTGTGTGTCCCACCCCTCCGCGGCCCCCCCTCCCGCTGTCACGCTGGTCCCGGGCTCCACTGTGCCTGGAGCGAGTCTGAGACCAGCATAGTGGCTCTGTGACATCTGATGAACTCCCTCCAGTCCCCTTTCCGCTGTCAGAATGCGGAAGTGATGTGTGTCACATCACTTCAGCATTCTTGTTTCACTCTCCAGCTTCAGACGCTGGAGAGAAGCTGTTGAAGCAGATGGCCCGACCCCTGATGTCTCCATAAAGAGGACCTGTCACATCCTCTTTGCTATCACATAGGGCCCCTATGTGATAGCAATAAAGTTAAGTGAAAAAATTTAAGGAAATTTTTTAAAGTTACACATGAAAAAGAATAAAAAACCACAAAAGTCCCCACCCATACATACACGCATGCAAACATGCGTCAGGTGCGCATACATGCGAAAACAACGCCCATTATGCCAGCCACACATGTTACATATCACCACGAACGTTGCAGTGAGAGCAATAATTCTAGGGCCATTAATCACCGATAACACTAAACTGATGAGTGGTAAAAGCTTTTAAAGCGTCGCCTATGGTTGGGTATTGTAGTTTTTTGCGATTTCATGGGTGTGCACAATTTTAAAACTTGACATGTTTGGTGTCTATTTACCCGACATGACCCCGTCTTTTATATTTTACCAAAAAATTGGGGTAATAATAATTGTTTCCTAACATAATGTAAAAAAAACGATTTTTCACAATTTTCAGTAATTTTTCCTTAATATAGTAAAAAATAAAATCCCCCAGTGGTGATTAAATACCACCAAAAGAAAGCTCTGTCTCCAAAAAATGTTATAAAATTAATTTCAGTACAGCGTTGCATGACGGAATAAATGTCAGTCAAAGTACCGCAGCGCTAAATACTGAAAAAGGGCTGGCCAGGAAGGGGGTGTGAACACCTGGTCAGCAAGTGGTTAATGGAGATATCCGGTGGTCTACAGCTGCCCAGATCACTTTGACTTACTCACCCACAGCCTGCCGATAAACATTAAAACAAGCTCATGGCTGCAGCAGCTTGTTTTTACCACTACGGGCTGGCTATACAAGTTACGCCCATGGTTATGTCCTAAAGTGATTATTATCCATTTTCATGTTAAATTATTCACATTATCCTTGCATTCCAACCCCAGTCAAAAGGGTATCAACCCCTCTGCCTCATGTGCTTTACTAGCATCAATGTTAATATGGATGGAGCACACACCATTTTTGTTTAAAGTAATACAAGATAAAAGTTAAACATAGTATGCCTTTTGTAACATGTTTTTTGTAATATTAACATGAGCGGTGCTGAACTTTACTTAATCTAAATCCATTACAAAGAATAGATTATGGCAATTAAATTTCTTGGTATTGTGTCTTTGCAATGAGCTTTTATTTCACTGCATGACATTTTGGGTCTTTATTAATAAGTGAAAAAGGTATTGTCGACCTGCAGTGAAGTGAAAAGTCATCATTTTTCCATTATAAAAGGGCCTTTAAGCTGCCAACATTTTAGTCAAAGCGAGACTACAGCATAATACTTTGGTTTTCATATAGTTATTGCTGCCGTGCACTAATACCTCATTAACTTTTGTTAGTAATCTGTTGATTCCGGAACACAGCAGCTAGTGATGCTGGAATGTATATTCTAAGCCCCTTGCTGTCTCCCACATATAGAAAGTGTAACTTAAAGAAGAACGCCACAATTTTTAAAAATAAACCCTTGCTCGTTTTGGTCCAGGAGCAAAAATAACGAAGATATACTCACCTGATCCTCGGTCCTGCGGCAGTGACCGCTCACCTCTCTCACCCTATGCTCTGGCTGTGGTATGTTCCTTGGCATCCTTTCATCTAATGGACCTGCATTAGACGTGATGACATCACAGGTCCTTAGACCACCAGAGCCCTGGGGAGAAGAGGGACCAGTCTAGCAGCCAAGTGGGATGAGGATCAGGTAAGTGTTTCTTCTTTATTTTCACCCCCAACAAAACAAGCACTGCAAGGGTTAAATTTTAAAAATCCTCCAGTTCTTCATTAAAAAAAGAGTCTGTAGTAAGATGTTTCTCAGAGTCACCAATTATTCAAATCTTCTTTTAAAGTCTAAATATACTGTAATTGGTGATGTAGGAAAGAGAGAAAAAGGAAGTTACACAGCACATGTATCAGGAAGTACAGTCCTACGTCTCATCTGCTGACCCCCTATGGAGGGTTGTGTGCTTTTGGGAACAGGGGATTGCACAGAAAATGG